AGGACTACATACAAAAGACCAGCTAAAGACACCCATCAATCATAGTGACAGATCATCTCTCCTCCTTATCACAACAATACACCCACAACAAAAGCACACTGATCACCATAATCACCCATGTCCTGAAAAGGACAAAAGCTGGTCTCACAGCCATAAATACTCAATTCCCAAACAAACTGCACCACACCACAGAGTGCTGTCCTCTGAAGATGCCGGCCACAGAGACTGGTGAAACATTAGGAAGCATAACTTTCAGAACACAGCCAAAGAGCCCGAAAAAAACTACTACAACCATAATTGGCATTGCTGGCCAAATGAATCAAATGTTATAATTTAGTAGAAGGGAGCTTTAGTAGAAGGGAGCTTCATCAGTTATGAAAATATGTCTCCTCATGTTAGAGCGTTTTCAAGTGACACCCCCATAGAAATGAAAATCACCACCTCAAAGAATAATCTCAGCAATGATGGCTAGTCACTTGGGACCACAGACAGTTTGCGGGTAGAGTGTGTGTAAAATATTCAATTGTATTAAAAGAAATATACCTTTTAGGGCATCCCTTGCTGCTATAACTGAGAGAAATCCAGAGTGCCCATCTTCAGCGGGCTCCCTATGACATCTACAGTACTTATACTGTACTCATCTCTGTTGCTGCTGCAGGGATTACAGTATAAGATGCCTCAGCCGTAGGGCACAGAGCAAATACTGGACATCCAATTGTGACGGAGCAGTGTGGGAGTCTTTGGAATCTATGATGCTGCTCTCAGCTACTTAATTAGTGCTTTTAGGTTTCAGGGGTAGTATTTGTCTAAAACTGGGAGCAATGGTACCCCAACCATTTCCCCTTAATGATGCCTTTTTAGGTGTAACAGGAAACATTCTTGGTATAAGCTTGCTATGGTACAATTGTAATGGATGCTCACATTGTATTACTATGCAAAATTCACCATAAAGTCATAGCTCAAGTCCTTACTGAGAGACATGACCGAAACAACAAAAAGAATGACAACTTCAGTCCATGTTACTGCCATGGCGCAAAAACAAGTTGAAACACAGATTTAACCTGGAGCCCACAAATGCAACTATCCAATTACAGTTCCCAACCAGGTCCATGGGCTTGTCATAAAACATCATGAGTACAACATTCTCAGGAGCTGCTATGAATCCAAGAGAGAAACCCTCCTGGCTTTTATATCTAACATTTCCTCCACCACATTTTGCTCTGTTTGCAGTTGTACCACCAGTGAAGAAATAGGTGTGCAGTTAGCCCCTATTGAAAAGTGACCTGAGAAATTTATCTTTAAATGGAAAGATACATCATGCTTTTACCCTCACAGTTTAGAAGCAATTTGTTAATCATAGAAGATGTCACAGGGGTTTTGGTTATGATTGTAGTGGAAGGATATTTCCATACAAAACCATGAAAATCCACAAGGGGACTTTTGCACTATGTGATGACATACTGCCCAAAATTCCACTGTTTGGCACAGTAAATAGCACTAGAGTTAGACCCACTGAATCAATGGGGATTTTAGAAAACCCAAAACGAACCCATGTGGTCATTACATAATATAAATGTAGGAGAATGTGGCATTTATTAGACCACTAAAAATCAATTAATGCAAGCTTTTGTGGATTAAAAATCCACTATGCTGAAGTAAGTGGCAGCTAGAGTAGGCTCATATGAATCAATGGAATTTATGGAGGAGTTGACTCACTAGATCCTTATTGATTCAGTGGGCCTACTCTAGAGCAATTTATTGTGCTTAGCAACAGGCGTTTGGCTACTGTAAGGAATGTGGTTGTGGTTATTTTAAAAAAATCAGTGCGTAAATGATAATAGAAAAAACAAGACCTACGCTTTGTCCCATCGAAGCACAAAACATGGGACAGTGTTCGCCCGGGTGACAGTCCGCACGTAAGAATGCAAGCCTTATGTTTGGTTTGGTGGCTTCCGAGAATCTCGAGGGTAAAAAATCCACCCCAATCACAAGAACTGGCTGAAGGGGTTCTGGCGTGGCCTGCTTCGCTCTTGTTTCGTGGCCTCAACTTTGAATCGATTTATTGCGACCTTAGTGGTGCTTTCAAGTAAAGTGAGATATTTATAGGCTGGTTTTACCAGTTCTGTTCTCCCCGCGCCACAAGTGAGCGCCCATGGCTGAGTGAGGATTCGAACCCAGTTCCTATTCGGGCCACTCCATCCACCACACCACGCTGCTCCACACTAGGCCGCCCCCCCTCCCCGCACGCGCGCGCGTTTTATTTTCACCAACACATTTCACCTGCTGCCCTGGATTCCCGCGGCCTCGCCTCGCCTCCTCCCCAACCCCTCAAGTCACACCTCAGCCAAGGAAGCGCTTGGAGAAATAGCGACCGCCGCTGAGGCCAGTCCGGAACACGGTTTTGGCCCCCGGCGGGCCGGAGGGGCGACGCCGGGAGAAGCGGGGCACGCTTCCAACTTTCCCCCCCTTACTCGCTTCCTCCGCCGCGAGAGAGGCGAAGACCTCAAGTGCTGAAGGAGCCACCGCTGCCCTTCGGCTCCTCCGCTCTGGTTCTCGCCGACCTATCTCCGCCGCCATGCAGCCGGCTCAGGTAAGGGCGGGACGGGAAGGGAACGAGGGGCAGCCGGGGTCGCCACGGCGACGAGGAGGGGCTGGCAGGCAGGCAGGCGGGCGGGCTGCCTTCTCTCCCGCTCGCCTGGCGTGTGCTGCGGGGCAGGGGCGCCGAGAGACGCGCTTTGGCGCGGAGCTCCGAGAACTTGGCGGGTCTCTCCTCCGTGCTAGGGCGTTGGGCGAAGAAGCGGGAAACGCTGGGATATTCAGGATGTGTGTGGGGGGGTGATGCGTGTGCGAGCGCCCTAACCTCGGGCATCCGAACTGGCCGGGCGCACGTCGGTAGGGGAGCCTGAAAACCAGCCTCGCTCAGTGGCCGGAGAGTGCCCGCGGAGGGCCTTTCCTCCGGCTTGCCGAGAGACGCGCGACGCGAGGATGCGCGCAGACCCGCTCGCTACCAGAGAGGAAAGCGTGAGTGAAGTTGCGCGGACGCTACGTGGGCGAGCTCAGTGTTGCGCTTGTGGAAAGCCGGACGCCTGCCTGTGCTTATTGAAACGGTTGAACTTGGGCACTTTCACTTTTGGACTACAGCTCTTGTCATCCCCGAGCCAGTAAAACAGACAGGCAGCGCGTAGAGGGTGCTGGAGCTGCCCGGTGAATTTGGATCCAGCCCTACTCAAGAATAAACTGCTGAGGACACCTGTTCCAGCCAAGAACGTTTTGAGGCAAAGGTCCTCATTTGTTGTTTGTCCTTAAGTCGTGTCCGACTCTTTGTGACCCCGTGGACCAGAGCAGGGCAAGCCCTCCTGTCTTTCACTGCCTCCCGGAGCTTGGTCAAATTCACGTTGGTACCTTCGATGACACTGGCCATCCATCTCATCTTCTGTCGTCGACTTCTCCTCTTGCCTTCACACGTTCCCAACATCAGCATCTTTTCCAGGAAGTCTTCTCTTTTCACGAAATGGCAAAAGTATTGGAGCCTCAGCTTGAAGATCTGTCCTTCCAGTGAGCACTCAGGGTTGATTTCCTTTAGAATGGATAGGTTTGTTGTCCTTACAGTCCAGGGGCCATCCATCTCATCTTCTGTCGTTGACTTCTCCTCTTGCCTTCACACGTTCCCAACATCAGCATCTTTTCCAGGAAGTCTTCTCTTTTCACGAAATGGCAAAAGTATTGGAGCCTCAGCTTGAAGATCTGTCCTTCCAGTGAGCACTCAGGGTTGATTTCCTTTAGAATGGATAGGTTTGTTGTCCTTACAGTCCAGGGGACGCTTAAGAGTCTCCTTCAGCACCACAATTCAAAAGCATCAACTCTTTGGCGGTCAGCCTTCTTTATGGTCCAGCTCTCACTTCCATACATCACTACAGGACTATGTGGACTTTTGTTGGCAAGGTGATGTCTCTGCTTTTTAAGATGCTGTCTAGGTTTGTCATTGCTTTCTTCCCAAGAAGCAGGCATCTTTTAATTTCGTGGCTGCTGTCACCATCTGCAGGGATCATGGAGCCCAAGAAAGTAAAATCTGTCACTACCTCCGTATGTTCCCCTTAGATTCGCCAAGAGGTGATGGGACCAGTGGCCTTAATGTTAAGGTTTTTTTCTTATGTTGAGCGTCAGACCGTTTTGTTTGTTTTTATGTTGAGCATCAGATCATTTTTTGTGCTCTCCTCTTTCACCCTCATTAAGAGGTTATTTAATTCTTCCTCACTTTCTGCCATCAGAGTGGTATCATCTGCATACCAGAGGCTGTTGATATTTCTTCCGGCAATCTTATTTCTGGTTTGGGATTAATCCAGTCCAGCCTTCCACATGATGTATTCTGCATATAAGTTAAATAAGCAGGGAGACAATATACAGCCTTGTCATACTCCTTCCCCAATTTTGAATCAATCAGTTGTTCCATACCCAGTTCTAATTGTTGTTCTCCCTCATATAGATTTCTCAGGAGATAGATAAGGGGGTCAGGCACTCTCATTTCTTTAAAAATTTGCCATGGTCCACACAGTCAAAGGCTTTTGCGTAATTAATGAAGGAGAAATAGATGTTTTCCTGAAACTTTCTGGCTTTCTCCATCATCCAGTGCATGTTAGCAATTTGGTCCTGGGTTCCTCTGCCCCTTCGAAATCCAGCTTGTACTTCTGGGAGTTCTTGATCCACATACTGATGAAGCCTACCTTGTGGGATTTTGAGCATAACCTTGCTAGCGTGTGAAATGAGTGCAATTGTATGGTAATTGGAGCATTCTTTGGCACTGCCCTTCTTAGGGATTGGGATGTAGACTGATCTTTTCCAATCCTCTGGTCACTTGAGTTTTCCAAACTTGCTGGCATATTGAATGTAGCACCTTAACAGCATTGTCTTTTAAGAAGGGGAAATGTCCTCATACTTACCAGCAAAGCCAACGGGGCTTGTTGAGCCCGACTGAGTCTGTGTCTTCCATACTTTGGGCAGTGGGGATCAAAAACATAAAGGATACCCGTGGTATCCTGCTGCAAGTCCCGAAGGAGAGTAGACTTTTTCTCTCAGTGGGGTTTATGTAAGTGCTGATTTGTTGCTTCACAATTGATTCAATGGCTGAAATCACATGTGTGACAGAGATAGTGTCATCAGCAGTGGCAATTAGCTGCTGATTAAAGGCAATTTTAGGGTGCAAGCCTAAAATTCATACACAGTGGGATGAAGTTGCATGCACCATGAAATCCCTGAAGGCAGCCTTTAATCAGTGGCAATTTGTTGCTGCTGACATAAATTCCATCGTTCATACAGGACTGCACTTCAGGATTTCAGCCACTGAATCTACTATCTGTCTTGAGACTAGCAATAGGAGCCTGATTTTCCCCTATGGGACTCCATCCATCCATCCATCCATCCATCCATCCATCCATCCATCCATCCATCCATCCATCCATCCATCCATCCATCCCTGTCTGTCTGTCTGTCTGTCTGTGGTACTTCTATACCACCCCATTAGTGCATAGCACTATTCTGGGCGGTTTATATTCAAACAGGATATTTAAAGCATAGATATAGCATAACATAAACAACAACAACAATCAACCCACAGCCTCAGACTGTACTTCTAGGGATTCACGATCCTCCTCCACTTTGGACACCTGAATCTCCGAAAGGAAGTAAGTTGTCCTGCAATAGAGCTTTGAACTTGGTGTTCTAGTTTGGAAGCTAAGCAGGGTCAGACTAGTTTAGTACTTAAATGGGAGACAGTTGGAGAATTCCAGGGACTTCTTACAGACTGTAAATAATTCTGCTTCACTTGCTGGAGTGAAGAATACTAGACTAGGTGCACCAGTAATCTAAGGCAGTGGTTCTTAACCTTGGGTTACTCAGGTGCTTTTGGACTGCAACTCCCAGAAGCCTTCACCACCAGCTGAGCTGGCTGGGGTTTCTGGGAGTTGCAGTTCAAAAACACCTAAGTAACCCAAGGTGAAGAACCACTGATAAGGTAGCTTTCATCGTTTGGAGAGTGTATGGAGAAGTCCATACTCCTTTGACATAGTATATGGTCTTTTCAATGTTTGCTTTTATTGCAGTGATTTAAAAATTATATTGCAGTGAAGGTCACTGTCAGTCCCAATAATCTGCCCCAGAATTATTATATATTATATATATTCTGCCCTTTATTTTTAAAGTAATTCTGGAGTTGATTATAATATTATAATTTTTAAATGCATAAAAACATAAGCATTTTGCATTTGAGGACTGAAACTCTGTTCAAGTGAGTGTCCTACAAGTGTGAGTATGTCTTTTTAAAGAAAAATGTTTTAATTATTTACATAATGTAAACACCATCCAATTAAGTTAACCATCAAAGCTGAAAACTGTAAAAGCACTACTAACCCTACAGAATAAAACCAACCACAGTACAAGACTAACTGAAACTAGCAACATTATAATATGAAAAGAGGAAAGAGCATAGCTAACAGCACTGAAGATGTTACAAGGAACTAAAAACACCTGGAAAACCTGAAAGACCGTCAGAAGCCATAGACTACCAGCAGAGCCAGTCCTACCATTAAGTAGAGTGAGGTGGATGCTCCAGGCAGCACATCCGAGAGTGTCATGAAAGAGCAGCAGTTATTTGTTATTTAATTTGAATTGTGTTTTTTTCAGTGCAGGGCTGGAGTGAAATGTCGGTGGAAATTTCTATCAAGTGCACTAGTACTTTAACAGTTCAGTGCAAATGCTGAACTAGATGAAGGCACATGTTTTAGAAGTGAGCACCTTATCGATATTGTCTTCTGCTCCGTTACAGGTGTGGATGTTAACTTGCCTTCTCCTATGTTGGCTGCCTTTCCCTGGATTTGAGGCTGTCAAGGTAAGCAAGCGCCCCATGAGGACTCGAGCTTGTGCTGACCGACCTGAGGAGCTCCTGGAACAGCTGTATGGAAGACTTACCGCAGGGATGCTCAGTGCCTTCCACCACACCCTGCAGCTGGAGCCTCAGGAAAGAGATCACAATATAAGTTGCCCAACAGGAGGGAGGCCAACTAATGACAAGAAGTATCGACTCCCCATCAATCTCAACAGTGTCTCCCCTTGGTCATATAGGTAACTTGAACTCAGTGCAGCTTTCTTGTCCTTTAAAACCTTGAAATGCTTGATTTAGTTGTGTTATCTTTCCTCCCCAGGTCAGTAACTCTAAAGGTTGAAGTAAGAATTAGAAAGTCACACATATAATCTTTGTTAAACATGATCAACAGTTCAAACGCTACACGCTTTTCATTGCTGTTCTAGTCTTAGAACCGTTGGCCTTAGGCTAGAGTGGAGACTTGAGTTATCCTTGTAGCTCACATAGTACCATGTTTTTCATTAGGGCCCCACTATGAGATGTGTAGTCTAGTTGATTCCTTTTCTAATATACTAACTACAAGAGCTTTATGATTAAAAAACAGAATAAAAAAGCAATGTGGGTGTTCCAGGAAGACGTGTGTGTCCCAGCCTCTTCCCCAAAAATTTTTTACACACCTATTCTATTTTTAGCATAACTTTTAAATTTGGAAAGGTGCTGTTTTAAATATATCAGAACAACAAAAACAAAGTTTGAAAGAAATGCATTCAAATTGAGATGGTTTCTACATTGGGAATGATGAGTACTTGTTCTATGAATGTAGTGAGTGAATCGTAACCTTCGTGTTTACATTACGTACTTTGCACAGGAAATGCAAATATTGTGTTTTTAATGACCACTATGGGACATTTGCTTTGTGGCTTAATTTCTGTTTGGCTTTGCTTAAAACCAACAAGAACATTGAAACAAAAATTATGGCTTTCTTAGTAGAGTATTTTTAAAATAAATGCATATATTTAAAAATAGTATTTACATGGAAGATTAATTAACTCTGTGCAGAAGCTCCACATATATGGACATTTCCAAAATATACTTTGCACGACTACAACAGTGCACAATATTTCACCACCACCAAAAGTCATGTAAAGTTGGCATAATTGTGTTATCTGCTAAAAACTGTGACCTCATTCATATATAAATGTAGCCAGAAAAATCAGAAACATATTTAATATAAATGGAAATCTTCCTATCAGCGCTTTTGGGTTCTGAGGCTCCTTGGGGTTCCCTTTTGCCCTGGGAAAACCTCAGGGAAGGGAGAAAGAAGCCTTTTATAGTCAAAATATGCTGCCAGATCGCCATGGGCAGGATGAGATGTCCCCATAGTGATTTTTGATTATTAAAGGGTTTCCCCTTCCCGTTCCCAAGGCTTCCCATGAGTAAAAGGGAACCCTAGTGAGTCTTAGCACCTGAGGGGGTGGGGGAGATATAGTAAGCTTTCAATTTGATTAAATTAGATATTTCTCATGCCAGATCCAGGTTATGCTGACATAGCTTAATGCAACAGGATTTTGTTGGGTGTCTGGCAAAAGAATGTAAGCTCCCAACATCCAAAGAGCATAGCCCAGATGTTTATCCTGTATTCTAATGGATCAGACCTTCCTGAAACAATTTGTCACCCAAGATGTCTGTTGATATACCAACCTGATGCCTTTGTCTGGTCCACCTGTGGAAACAGACATGCTTTGTTTTACTGCACGTGCTCTTTGCAGTTCATCTGTGTGTGCCCAAAAGTCCTGCTCCGGTCTTTGCTGGTTTCCCTTCCACGTGGCCCCCTTCCTATCGCTTTTTATCTCCTTGTTGACTAGTTTGCCAGATCTCCTAGTGATATCATCTCCAGATGTCATTGGCCTGATCTATTTCGATTCCAGATTATGAATCATGATGCATAAATCCAGGCCTGAACACTTCTGCCTGGACACCTACTCTAGTCTGATACACAGTCGTTTATCACTGCTTTTTGTGTACAACTTCTCATTTATGTGTCTGGATTCCTAACTCAAGCAACTGGAGTGTTTCATAGGAAAGATTCAAGGCAGCTGTTGAACTCCACATGTGGGATAATCATGATGGGCCAGGTCTGACCTAAGCCTTTGGACTTCCAGCCCAGGAACAGCGTGTGTTACCTCTCTAATGGATACACTTCATTGCAACTCCTGGCCTTATGGAGTCCTTAGGGCTATGTTCTGCACATCTAGAGGACACAAGCATCATAAAAATGCTGAGAGGCCCAAGTCTGAAATTGTGCTTTTAGAATAGATAATAACGCATCTCACAGGAAAAGAGTTTTATTTATTTAGAAGGCTTGGGCAGAATCCTTTTCAGCTCTGCTGATGCAATTATTTGTTTCAAAAGCTATTTAAAATAGTTTAAAACATATAAAACAATGTCAGCAAGTTAAAAATCATTTGGAATTTTATATTAACTATAGACTTCATACCCTACTCTATAGTTCACTGTTCGGAATTTAACAACCTATCATTAGAGCCAAAGCCTTCAAGGAGCAACATTATAACTTGATAAGGTCACTGTCAGTCCCAACTGAACCACCAAGGGAAGAATGTTCCACAATCAAGGTGCCACAACAGAAAAGACCCTTTCTCGAAGCTCCATGTAATGTATAATTTTTGCCGGTGGCTAATATTAATATTAGCATTACCAGTAGTATTAAAAGTTGTCTTGATAGCTCAGCAAATTGGGTACCTGGCTGCTATAGGTCTGGAGTTTGACTCCACAATGCGTCTTCTAATTTATTTATTTATTTATTTATTTATTTATTTATTTATTTATTTATTTATTTATTTATTTATTTATTTATTTATTTATTTATTTATTTATTTATTTATTTATTAGATTTTTACCCCACCCCTCTAGACAGTGTCTACTCGGAGCAGCTTACAAATAAAACACGGCAATATAACATATGTAACACCTTAAAATTACAATTAAAATTACAATTATAGCAATTGATTACAACCAAGACATTACCAAGATGGCATACCATAAGGACAAAGAAAAGAAAGAGATAAGGGTGAAAATCACTTAATTGACTGGAGGGAAGGCCTGCTTGGATAGCCAAGTTTTTATTGCTTGTAATGCTGTTATATTATCTTTAGCACATGCTTTAATAGAAGGTTAACTGAGTGGGGTGGGGGTTGTTTATTCTGGGTTTTAACTGATTTGAACCACCAAGTGAGCATCACAGGACCCTACTTGCTACTTCTGTGCCGTGTCACCTTCACTTAGCAAGGCGAAGTACAGTACAGTACTAGCTGCTGCATAGGAAGTGTGAGTGGCTTCCAGCCATATTTCCCATAATTGCTTGAGTGCCACTTTCGGAGTTAACTCAACATGGCATTCAGAGGTGGAAGCAGCAGATGGAGTCCTGTGCCTGTCTGGGTGGCATAAGACTCTTGTTTAATCATTAAATGAATGGCAGACTCCTTCTCTTCTACCCTAATGGGTCTTTATAAGGAGAAAGGTGGGGTAAAAATATTTTAAATAAATTTAAATAAAGGACTGGGTGTTATAGCAAGGAGGCTAATGGTAAAGGTGGTTATTTTGTTAATTTCCAACAGTAGCAGTGTTATCCCTTAGTACAGTACTAGGGAAAGTAATGAGTTGTGGATAATTTTGTCATTTAACACTGAGAGAGGAAGATGGTTCAGTTCTCTTGGAGATATATTCTATCAAACTATACAAATGGAGGGGATTGTTCTTCTGAAATCAGGTTTGTATGTTAAATACTGCCTTCAAATAGGAAATTAACACTGAAGAAGAAGAAAAAGGGTAGCTCAGAGGCAGAAGTCAGCAAGTTGTGACTCTTCCGTCAGTTGTTCCCATCCCCAGATGTTCTTGGACTAAAACCTCCGGAAGCCTTCACCACTAGCTGTGCTGGCCAGGATTTCTGGGAGTTGTAGTCCAAGAACATCTGGGAGCTCGGTAGATATTGCTCTACAGCTCTAATCAGCCATAGCCAACATGGCCAGTGGTGAAGAATAGTGCTAGCTGTTGTTTTTATTCTTTTGTGAAGTTTGTAAACTGCCTTGAGTGGAAATGCAAGGTATACATTTAATAAATAATAAATGATCTTCTAGAGGGTGCAAAGTAGCTTATTGCCTCCCCCCAGCTATCCTGATGAAGGAACAAAGTTACTATGTATTGTTCTCATGCTGAAATGATCATTTAGAGTAGCCAAAAAATGGTATCTTCTGAATTCTCCATCTTCAGCATTTACAAAGATAGCAGATATGCAAAGCATCACACTATTAAACAGAAATATACATAGACATTAATTCTGCCATTGTAATCCTGCTGGTAAATCTCTGTATTTTAAACTACATACAGAGTAGCATCTGTGTTACATAGAATGTGTTTACAACCTGGATTTATACTAGAGCTTTGAAATATTTACTCAAGAGTAAAAGAAACATTGGCTCCAGTAGCACTTTTTTTAAAGTAAATATGTTTGAGATTCCAGAATGTTTTCCCCTACTGGAAATATTTATTATAGAGGATAGTGGAAATATTTGGGATGCATAAGCGTGAGATATTATTTATCTAGATCACTCAAGTGAGTGATTTACGGTATGTTACAGGAGAATCAAAATACAAAACAGACAAATCAAGACGTCAATCTAGGAGAAAAAGCCTTCATTATTCCAGATGCAGTAAACGCTTAATCAGTTTTGTAGGAATTAGAACATCCTTTTTAAGATTAAATATAATGTAGTCCTTAAGCATGACCCTGAGAGTTTCAGAAGTGTTAAAGGATTTTGGAGATTGATCTTAAGACATCTCCTTTATTTAATGTATCTCAAGGGAAACAAGCAAGCATTTTGAAACATTAAGCTCCCACAGTCTCGTTAACACTGTCATTCCTACGGCCCCTGTCCAATGTTGCCCAACTGTGGCAGCTGCTTTTTGCATTTTTCTTCTAGAATAAGTATTTTTAGTGACTGATTCCAGACGTCCTGAACAGAATCCAAGTTGTAGGGAGCCTGTGCAGACTACAGTCATCTTGAATCACGATTAATACACTTCTGACACTAAGCAACAAAACATGTATGAATTGAATTGGGTCTAATTTTGTTAATAGCAATAGCAACAGCAACTAGATAGCCTCTTGAGACAGCCCTGTTTGCCTTTTACAGATCAGTATGTGCAGTTCATGAATCTGAAAGGCAGCAGTTCTGTTCTCTTT